GCGCAGAAAAGACTAGTGTTGATCTGTGGGGCCAGTTGAGATCCCCCCAGGAGTAACGGCCAGTAATCGGCAGGCGTGTCCGGGGCGTTACAAACCCCTTCTTACACCGTTCATGTCGGACACCACGCCGGGTGAGTGTTCAGCCAAATACCATTGAGATTTTTTTTGACTTTCTTCCTTTTTAACATGGAGTAAGCATGAGAGGATGCATTGTTGTGCGACGCGTGATTGGCCACAAGCGCGGGGTTTGTAGGCATGAAGAAAACGGGTACAAATTTTGGCAACATGTGCATTTTTGGTTTCATGAGTACAAGCACTTCACGACGTACTATTTGGATGTGATCAATGATCACAATGCGAATTGCTACTCCATCGGTGGTACACCATTTCAAACTCCGTCATAAAGTTTTGAAGTGCGATTGCACAAGTGGAGTCAAGGTGGCCACCAGCTGTGTCAATCATGGAGATAGTAAGTTCTGTTTCTTGTTGCTCTAGGTGTTAGCCAATTCATTTATTCACTTAATGTTGCAACTTGATGATCACGTCATTGTATAGTCCGGACGTGCAACCATGATGTACTATAGGATGGAGGGCAAGCCCTCCACATTGATTCATTGTTGGATGAAGCTCAAGACGCATCCCAATTGGGAGAATGTGTGGCGATAAAGAAGGTTAAGCTCAAGGAGAGAAGAAAGCTTGAGATGAAGGCCACTTTCGAGGAGTATGCTTGAATTGGAACCGATGAATTTAAAAAACAAGTTGAATATTCGACACTTCTATTTTGGATTCAAATTTATGCTTGAATTTCTATCAATCAATGATTCAAAGTGAGGTTGCATGGCAAACTTTTGGTTTGGTGGACATTTGATGTATATGGTTGGATGGCCGGCTCCGCTAGCGCTGTCCATGTAGAGGTGTGGGGTGTGTGTTCTGATGGACAACGACACCACACCTAGAGCTAGAGGGAATGGTGACCGAGATGTCTGGTTGGTAAGTGGAATTTCTGG